GTAAGCCACTGTGCCCAGCTAATTTTTTTTTATTTTTTATAAAGATGAGGTCTCACTATGTTGCTCAGGCTAGTCAAACTCCTGGCCTCAAGTGATCCTCCTGCCTTGGCCTCCCAAAGTGCTAGGATTACAGGCATGAGCCATTGCACCTGACCAACCCAATACTTCTGACACCTGAAATGTGGGGGCATTTCCCCACACACCAAGCAATCAGTTCCACAGCAGACACAAGCGAGGTGTCCTCTAATTCAATTCAATTCTGACACTATCCACCAGGTGGGATCCCACAGGTTGAGGGCTCAGTCCCACAAGAATTACACCTCCCACCTTCACATGCCAGTTGCAAGCCCCAGGTTGTGACCTGTGTTTTTGACTGACCGGCTCTAAATCAGGGTGCTCACAACTTCCTTCTTGGGTTTGATAAACTTCCTAGAGCAGCATATAGATCTCAGGGAAACACTTTACTTACATTTACCAGTTTATTAATAAAGGATAATGAAGGATACAGATATGGTATCAGGTCAGGTATGAGAGAAGGGGCGTGTGCCACTCTCCAGGAGCCTCTGCGTGTTCAGCTATCTGAAAACGCTCCCAACCCAGTCCTCATGGGTTTTTATGAAAGCTTCATTACAGAGCCAGGATTGATAACATCATTGTTCATCGGTGATCAAATTAAACTTCAGCTCCTCTTCCTCCCAGGAGCTTGGGGGGTAGGGTCAGCCCCACCCCTTCAATCATGCCTTGGTCTTTTCTCTGGTGACCCCCTATCCTGAAGCTGCCTAGAGGCCTCCAGCCACCAGTCATCTCATTAGCATACAAAAGGCATTCTTCTAGAGATTCCATGGGATTTAGGAGCTGTAACAGATATAAAGACTAAATATATATTTCACAATATCACAGCACTAAGTAAAATTGATAATTGCAAAGAATAGTTAAAAATAAAGTTCAAGGTGGCTGAAGAAAAAGTCCAATTTTGGAAAGAAAAGTTTCTGGGGCCAGAGAAGCCAAGATACTGAAAGACCCAGAAAGATTAGACAACTGAAGTCAAAGACCAGAGCAGCCAAGAATAAAAAACTCATTTTGGCTACCTGCCAGAGTTTTGTAACTGAGTCCAAGCTTGTACCACTTGCTGCAGGACAGCCGATAAGTTGAGAGACAAGGTGTTAGGGCAAGGAAAGTAACTTTTATTCAGAGAGCCAGCAAACCAAGAAGATGGCAGAATGTTCTAAAGCAGTAGTCTCCAACCTTTTTGGCACCAGGGACTGGTTTCATGGAAGATAATTTTTCCATGGATGGGGGAGAGGGAGAAAAGGGAATGAGTTGGGGATGATTCCAGTGCATTACATTTATTGTGCAGTCAAACCTCTCTGCTAATGATAATCTGTGTTTGCAGCCGCCCACAGTGATGCTAGCATCACTGCTTCAGCTCCACCTCAGATCATTCATTAGGCATTAGATTCTCATAAAGAGCACGCAACCTAGATCCCTTGCATGCGCAGTTTACAATAGGGTTTGCACTCCTATGAGACTCTAATGGCGCCACTGATCTAACAAGAGCGAGAGCTTATGCAGAGATGCCAGTGATGGGGAACGGCTGTAAATATAGATGAAATTTTGCTCACTTGCTGCCACTCACCTACAGAGAGTAGCATGATGGTTATCAGCAGCTAGGAAGGGTATTGGGAAGGGGGGGATAAAGTGAGGGGATAAAGTTAATGGGTGCAAAAGTATACATAGATAGAATGAACAATATTTGATAGCACAACAGTGACTATAATCAACAATAAGTTAGGGTATACTTTAAAATAACTAAAAGAGTGGAATTGGAATGTTCCTAACACAAAGAAATATCAAATGCCCAAGGTGATAGATACCCCAATTACCCTTTGATTAATTCACATTGTATGCCTGTATCAAAATATCACATGTACCTTATAAAGATACACAACTATTATGTACCCAAAATAATTAAAAATAAAAACTTAAACCAAAACATAACCAAAAACCCCAATTTTTTTTTAAAGAAAGAAAATCACCAACGTGCCTATTATCCTACAAGGGTTAAGTGTTTTGATTTTTGCATATTTCCTTCTGCCTGTATGGCACAGAACTTTAGGGCTGAAAGACACTTTAGAAATCAAATGGTTCACTTTATTTTCAGATGAGAAAACAAAAATCTGGAGAGCTATGAGGTTATCCCAGGATCACATCTTATTACCTTCTCTAAAAGAAATTTTAATGCTAAATTACTAAAATAATAGTTGTTTAAGACACGAATAACTCCCTATTTGCTGATTTTATCCACTGAGAATGCAACTGCAAAGGAAAATAAATCTCTATTATGTAATACAATATTAGCATTCTCAAAGGCAATATCTGGAGAATTGTAACTGCAAAATCTGAATTCCTTTATAAAAATTCCAAGAAGTCCAGGAATTTCTAGAAAACAGATGTGAATTCAAAGCCTCTGGATTTAAAGATTTGGATTCAAAGTTCACATATTTGCTGTGCATTGCTATTGTTGATGCAGCCTGCAGATTGTTGATTCAGAAAGGCACCCTCGATAAAAAGGCAAATTATATGTATTAAAGAAAGCACTTAATTGAGGCTTTCTCTCTGCTGTAATTCAAAGAATTGAAATAGCATTGAAAATAGGAGTACTTTGTAGGGAACATGGATGGCTTTCAAAACAACTATGTTAGAAACAATCTGGACTCACATTAGTGGGATTCTTAATATGCTGTAGCAGAAAATGGCCCAACATGGAAATTGAAAACTCCAGTTCTGCTGCTAGTCTGCCACTAACCAGGAATGTAATCTGAGGCAAAACTCTTAGTTTTTCTAGTTTTGTTTCCATGTTGATAATATGAGGTTAGCCCAGGTGATCTCAAAATTCTTTTTCAATTATAGAATTCTATGATTCTTTCCTCTGTGTATGTGAAAGGTATCATATATTTCAGGCTCTAGGAAAACCCCAGGTGTGAAGAGATGGCTTTAACAAGGTACTAATATCCTTTTGTTCTCTTCTGAGGGGAACTCGGGGTGGGAACCTGGCACTTCTTTGGCTCCCTCCTCTCTTTTATCTCCCACCTTCATACTCTATCTGTAACAAATCCCAATTGTCTTTTCATTTCTGTCTCATCACCCTTTCTTCTCCATTCACACTACCAACACTTTAGTATTGTCCTTATTTCTGAACCAAGGAACACGTAACTACTTTTCTAATGTTCCTCTCGGAGTACAATCTGCTTCCATTGAGCTCCATTCTGCTTATTGTTAAGATTTACATACCCAAGGGAGTGATCCTGGATTTCTTGATTACTTTCACATATTCCATCTGTCAGCAAATCCTATTGGCTCTCTCTTTAAAATATGTCCAATATACAACCACTTATCATCTCCACCGCTATTACCCTGGTCCAAGCCAGCAATAGCTTCTGACTGATTCTCCAGCTTTGGTCCTTACCCCTATTTAGTGTAGTCTCATCACAGCATCCAAAGCGATTCTATCAAATCAAGTCAGATTATGTCACCCCCCTGCTCAAGGTGACTTTCCTTACAAGGACCTACAAAGCCCTGTGTGCCCTAACCAATGTCACCTCTCTAACTTCATTGCCCACTAGTCTCTCCCCCTCCTAAGAGTATATAAACCTTTTACTCTTCCTCCAATCTGCCAGGAACATGGCCACTTGCAGGGATTTTTGCGTTTGTTGTTCTTTTTGCCTGCAATACTCTTTAAGCAAATAGCGGCATGGCCAATTTCCTCACTTTACTATGTAACTCCAATGTTACCTTTTCATGTTTTGCTTATTTTTCTTCTTTTTTGTCTCTCTTTTCCATGACAGTAGGGATTTTTTGCTTATTGCTATATCACAAGCCCCTAGAACAGAGTGTAACATAACGGGTGCTCAATTATTATTTATTGGTTATTGACTGAATTGTGGGAGATCTGTACCAAGGGAACATAACATCACACGGAGATGGAGACAGACACTAGATAAAATGTCTCATTTGTTTGCTCACGGCAAAACAAAATTTGACCATTTTCTTAATCTAGTGTAGTAAAAAATGCTATGCCTTTTGTTAATTGCAACATGTTTTAGATCTCAGGGAAAGCAAATTCCATAATTAAAGGCTTAATTTGGTCACTAGGAGATGAATTCTATCATATTTTCCAAATGTTATCCTGTACATTTGGCAGCCCTGTTAAGTTATGCAGAAGGAAGTACAGTCGATTATTTTAGAAAATTCCCACTCCTGATCTTTAGCGCTCAAAGTCCTCAAAACTCTAAGATGTAGTATGTAACTCCAAGAGGAAACCTGTGTCTATTAAATACACTAATGATAGTAATGATGAAATAAATATGCTAACAACACATCTATCTTAAATAAGAGGTAGTATTATAGAAACTCCATTTTGGTTTTTTCCTCCGTTTTTTCCTTTATCAGAAAGACGCACTTCCTCGCACACAGAAGAGGATCAATTAATATATGTTTAATTGTATTGAACGGATTAATGTTTTTTAACAGAAAATGCATCTAGATTGTTTGGTGCGGCATTAGCCTAAGGGTCGTAGTCCTTCAACTCTACTAGCATTCTGTATTTTTTAGGGGCCTGAGTTTACCAGCCCAGAAAATTCCAAGAGGGACGTTCTCACTCAACTCCCCAGGAAGGGAACAACGTCGGGGGATGGGGATGGGGTGTGCGAGGGGTCACCGCCTCCCGTAGGTCCGGAGGAAAAAATCTGTGGTTAGAGGGGGCTCCACGACTTGAGTGTGCGACGGCCTCCCGGGCTCAGTCTGGCCGGCTTCATCCTTCGTCCTCTCCGTCCGCTGGACCAGCTTCTCGCTGAAGAAGAATGAGGGCGGCCGCGACTCCTCTGGGAAGACGGCGGGGGCCGGCCCGTTAGCTAAGGGCGCCGGCGCCGAGTCCCGCAGGCGGAGCCGCGCCCCGGAGCCGGGTGGGGGAGGGGCGGCGGCGGCAGCTCGCTGCGTCGGGTTTCCCAGAATTCCCAGCGGCCGCGGGGAAAGTTTACGGGACGTAGGCGGCGGCGGCGGCCCGGTAGCGGTTACCAGGCGGCCCGCGGCGGATCATGGCCCTGGCCCGGCGTCCCTGGCCTCTCCTCACGGCGTCCCCGGGCAGCTTCGCGGAGCGGGCAGACTTCCGGGAAGGAACTGACATGCGACTGAGCGGCGGCCGGCGCGCTTAGCGCCCTGAACATGCGGCAGTCCCTGTGGGCGACCCCGGGCTCCGGACAGGCGGCGGCGGCTTGGGAGGGAAGGAGACGGCGGCGCCGGCGGAGGTGGCGGCGGCGACAGTCGGCGCCCGGCGCGGAGCCCTAGGGAGGGTGCTTAGCGTGGCCTCGGGCCTCGTCAAGAAGGATGCTGTCCCGAAAGAAAACCAAAAACGAAGTGTCCAAGCCGGCCGAGGTGCAGGGGAAGTACGTGAAGAAGGAGACGTCGCCTCTGCTGCGGAGTGAGTGTCGGGCGCTCGAACACCTGGCCCGGGCGGCCGCTGGCTGCCGGGACCCTGGCGGAGCGCCTGGCGCGGCTCCCCGGGGCTTCTGCTTTCTCATTGGTTGCTGTGAAATAGGGGGTTTTAATTTTCTTGTGCTGAAGTGGTGTTCGTTGATTGAAAGCCCACGGAGGACAAGAAACTTGAATTAGTGTACCCCGCCCCCTGCCAAGGGCACCCCCTACAAATAACAAACTTCCCAGTTCTCTGGCTGAGTGGTGTTGGTTTTGAGTAGTACTGAAAGAGAGAGACTGTAGGAAACAGTGAAATTGCTGATCACCTCGTGCTATAGGGGTAAAAAGTGGTTAGACTGGAACACTTTTACTTCCTCTAGATGCGTGAGATGTGACTTGTGTTTACAAACACTGCGGGTGTCTCTCGCCTGTGCTAGAAGTTGTGTGAAATCTGGGGCAGAATTCCTGGGTCCTGCTGCTGGTTGCAGACTTAAGGAGGTGAAAAACAGACCCGTCGCGATTGTAGCGGCTGCCCAAAGCCTCATCACTTTTGGTTCTCAGAGCAGAGCAGCCAAAATCATGTGTATTTGGCTATATTCGTGAGGTTGCAAAAAGGGCAAAGAACTCAAAATGATTTCTGTCATTTTAGGGAAATTACCAAGTTTTTTCTTTTTTAACTTTAATAGGGTGTATTCTCCTCCCTTCGCTTTTCTTCTTCTCAGTTTAAGTATTTGACTCTGATTTTTGAGCTAAGTTTCTTGAATTTTTAATTGTGTGTTCAGGACATTTGTGAGGTAAGGAGCTGATATTTTGGTGCTCGTACTGCATGCTGGGCCCTTTGTGTAAATTTCCTCCTTGGAAGCTGGTAGTAACCTTGTGATTTAAGCATTACCTCATATTGTAATTGGGAAAGCTGTTCATAGAGGTTTCTAGTGTTTGCCCAAGATCACACAGACAGGGGTGGAGAGCATATTTTTCCACTATAACCACATCATCAGCCTTCCAGATTTATTGTAGTACTTCGGTGCTTTCAACAAAATATATCAGATGGGTACATCAGTAACTCGAAACTTTATTTTTAAACCTCTTTTTTTAACAGCTTGGTTCTCAGTTACACATGCTGTTACGTTTTTGGCTGTTTTTAAATGATAGCTTGCTGTTTGCAACAAAGTTGATTAAACATTACTTAAAATCATGAAATATGTTTGTCACACCTTTAGGCAACTAACTTTTGATGTATTTTAATTTCATTAAATTTTGAGCCTTATGTATTCTGATATTAAGTTGTTTCTGTCCAGTATTGGCTTCTGAAGCTTATTAATATGAATGCCTTGTAATATTGTTTACTTAATGAACTAATAAAATAGTCTCCAGATCCAGTTTTCTTCATGTTTTAAAGGTATTTGCTTTCTCACCAGGAATGTCTAAGCCCTTTTCAAGTTCTGCATTCAAAAGTAGTACATCCTGACAGCCATTGTTCTATTATTATCTTCTGCTTTGAATTTTATTTACTTCTTATTAATTTCTCATAGGAACCATAATTTCAGGGTTGGTGTTTTTGAGCTGATTGAACATTTGTGTGTCTCTTTGAAATGAGAGCTCTTTATTTTTAATTTTCATACCTTAACTTTTGGCTTTCCAGCCTTTGATTGCTGTGCTAGTTAATTCCAAGGTAGAAAGAGAGCGCTACTAATTTTAGTATCTTTTTAAAGGAATCCATCTTTACATGTTTTGGAGTAGCATTATGCTGCTCTGTTTTATCTTTGAAATTGTGTTTGCTTGAAGAAGGATTTTTGGCAGTTTCTAAAATGAAGTGAACAATAAAAAAAATCTATAGTCTTAAATACTAGTACCTGCGTGTCAATTTGTTAGATTGTTTTCTGTTTTTATACATAAAAATTCATGAGCATTTCTCGAAACCAGCCTGAGCAAGAGCGAGACCCCATCTCTACTAAAATTAGAAAGAAATTAATTGGACAACTAAAAATTTATATAGAAAAAATTAGCCGGGCATGGTGGCGCATGCCTGTAGTCCCAGCTACTCCGGAGGCTGAGGCAGAAGGATCACTTGAGCCCAGGAGTTTGAGGTTGCTGTGAGCTAGCCTGACGGCACTCTAGCCTGGGCAACACAGTGAGACTCTGTCTCAAAAAAAAAAAAAAAATTCATGAGCATTTCATTAATACGTAGTTCCTCTTACTGACATTTCATCGTATTATGTATGGTAGTATGCAGAATACATTTGATGCTGGCTGAGCTTACACATAGCATGTGGGAAAATATCTTCCTCAATTTAAAATACCCAATTGCTATCTTAAAATTTAAAATTGTTTTCTTAAGTCCATTGACATTTTGATTTTGGGGTGGTAGAGGTAAATGAACAACTTTTGAAAAGTGTTTTTATTACTTAATGAAATAGTAATTTTACTCTTTGTTTTATTATAGATCTCATGCCTTCATTTATCCGGCACGGTCCAACAATTCCAAGACGAACTGATATCTGTCTTCCAGATTCAAGCTCTAATGCTTTTTCAGCTTCTGGAGATGGAGTAGTTTCAAGGAACCAGAGTTTCCTTAGAACTCCAGTTCAAAGAACACCTCATGAAATAATGAGAAGAGAAAGCAACAGATTATCTGCACCTTCTTATCTTGCCAGAAGTCTAGGAGATGTCCCTCGAGAGTATGGCTCTTCTCAGTCATTTTTAACAGAAGTTAATTTTGCTATTGAAAATGGAGACTCTGGTTCCCGATATTATTATTCAGACAATTTTTTTGATGGTCAAAGAAGGCGGCCACTTGGAGATCGTGCACATGAAGACTACAGATATTATGAATACAATCATGATCTCTTCCAAAGAATGCCACAGAATCAGGGGAGGCATACTTCAGGTATCTTAACATTATAAATACTACATTAGTTTATATTTGTTGATATTTCAATTAAAAAGATGCTCTTTTCTGAATTTTCCTAGGAAGGCAACAAATACTCCTAGGGAAGTACTTTTCCATTTTGCTAGTCTTGCTTAAGCCCATATGCAAGTTGTTGTTAACCTATACTGAATGAAAGAATTCTTGTGTCCATTTATTTTAGTAACTCATGTTATATAAATTTGCTACTTGTCTCAAGGCTGTGTTAACACTGAGAGCCTTGAAAAACTGAAGAATTTAATGTCTCCATTTGGATTGCATTTAGGTTCCAGTTTGGTAGAATGGGAATGTAGGTCTTCAGAGAAACTGGACTTAAACCTGGAAAAGAGGATGGGAAGAATTGAACATGTTAGGTGATACCATGGGCAACTACATCCAAGGATGGGGAACCTGCGGCCTTAAGGTTCTGACTTTTGACTGAATCCAAATTTTACAGAACGAATCCTTTTATTAAAAAGAGTGCAGCAGAGAAAGATGAAGCTTTTCTTGCCTCCTTTGGTGCTTAAAAAAGAACAACCTTGAAATCAGAAGGCTGCAGGATCCCCACCCCAGCACAAATGGTTGATTGTGTGTGTTGAGCATGTCTTTTTGTAACAGGCTTAATATTAGCCTTAATATTAAGGACGAAAAGCTGCTTTCCATATCTTCCGATTTAGGGATACTTCCACAAGGAGCAGAAGAGATTGGAGAAATGTACAGTTCTACTTTATTTCTAAAGTACAGTGAAGCAAGCTGAAAATCAATTTTTTTCTTGTCTGATTATTTTTTTCCTACCTACTGAGTTGTAGGCTTTAAATTTTGGCAGGATAAAAATAAATATATGAGACAGATTTACTTTTTAGCCCACATAACTTCAAAAAAGCTGACTTAAAAACGGTTTGGAGCATGAATATTTTGACTATAGATAAAAATATATTCACTTAGTATTAATCATTTATGTGTCTAGCATTTTTCTTGGCTCTCTTGGTCTCTGCCTTCTGGTACCTTATTTGGGGAAACAAAACCAATATATACACAACAGTCACAGAATAGTTGTTATATTTCATGGTGCTGACTGTAAGTGCAATAGGATGTCAGAAGAGAGATCATTGTATCCTGGAATACTTAAAAGAGTGATTTGTGGGAGAGGTATAGGACTTGGACTGGGCCTTGAGCTTGGGCTTTAAATTAACAGGGGGCAGAAGAAGGATATTTTAGGTGGAAAATTGGAAATAGTCAGAACAGGCATGGTTTAAATTGAAGGACTATGTAGTTTTGCCTGGTTTGAAGAATTAAGATATAAAGTGGAATGGAGATTTGTGGTCCAACAACAAGCTTAGATTTGAGTTAAGCAGAAGTACATTTCAGAAAGACGAGCGATTTTATGAAAGCATTGTTTAAAGGTTAATATTGTAGTAGTAGTCAGGATAGATTCCTAGAGAAAAGAAGATTGCAGGTACCGGTGGTAATGGAAAGGAAAAAGGCAAATCTAGGATGCTTTTGAAGGGAAAATGAGAATTTACGTTTGGGACAAAGTAAATCACTAAAGTTTTGAAAATTGGGAAATAGTGTGGAATAGTTGGTAAAAACAGCTTTATTTTATGAAAGCTGACATTAGATTCTCACTGGGATATTGAAGAGGAGAGGTTTCCTAGGCTTGTAGAAATACTGTAATAAGTATGGATAAGTGCTTTTTTGTTTTTAAAGAGCTAAGTTAAATCATAAAGACAGTTGCATACTTGAGTGTGTGTTTTATTTGTAATATGCAATTCTAAACCTCAGAAATAATTTATCAACTAAAAAAGTAAATTTTAAAAATAAAGCACATTTATATTTTCTTTTAGAGTATTAACTGCTTATTATAGGAAATTTGCAAAATGCAGAAAAGTGAAAGTACCTATCCACCAGAGATCCTTTTAGTTTATTAGTTATTTCCTTCATCTTTTTCCATGCCAAATTTTATTTTTACATTCTTGCAATTATACTTCGTATAGCTTCACATCCTTGCTTTTTACTTTGAATGAGTTTGTTAATGTTATGTACTTTATATAAATGGTTTTAATGACTTCATAATCTTCCATTTGGCACATGTTCAGTGATTAATGTTTTAAATAAGTTAATGAGGGACCTGACTTATGCCTCAGGCGTTTGGAAGAGGGAAAAGTAGGACATGTCCTTGTCAGTAGAACTTGGCCATAAATAGGGTTTGAGCATCCAGGGAGAAGGATGAGTCAGATAGGATTAGCATAGCACCTGGCTACATAGGAAGTGCTTACAAAAGTAAATGGCTGAATGAATGAATGAATCCAGAGGTTTCACATTTGGAGACTTAAGACAGCTTTTGGTAGCTGAGGAGGAGCAGGAGTAATAACTGTGTTTACTGTTAATACAGAATATTTGTTATTTTTTACATTTACCTTTTCCATCTATATTTATTAATATATTGCAGACATCACTGATAGCTCATAATACTTTTCTTCCAGGGCTTTAAGTATATAAGTGTGAAGAATTAATAATACCAAGTTAAAATCTTGTTTTAAAATTCTGATTCATTGACAAAAATATCATTGAAGATACATCTGTATGAACTGAATCTACTGATCCTCTCTTAGCAATTTGACATAATTTTTGTAAGTTTAAAGGCAAACTTTAAAACAACTTTCCAAGTACAACTTAGAAATAAAGTACAAGTTAATTGGATATTTTTTCAGATTAAAGAATATTGTTTAAAAAAGTAAGATTTGATTTCATGGAATAGCCAAGACCTTGTTTTGATGAGACAGTAGGCTTCTATATTCTCTTACCCCAGGCTCTTTAATATCAGATTGCGTCAGTCTTAAAGAAGGTTGCAGCTATTTGAAGAATCTTTGGTAATAAAATATCCAGAATTTTAAAAAGTTGTACGTTTATAGCAGTAATTGATAGAATGCCTAGAAACCTCATTTAATAACATTATATCAGGGCAATATAGATTTAATTTGCCTTCTAGAAAAGAACAGTACTTCTTTGAAGGAATCTCTTAAGTTGCAGGGAAAGATTAATAACCAATTATTAACCAAATAGAAAAGCCTAATAACTGTCTTTTACAGAGGGAAAAATGTGAATATGAGACAATAGCTGAAAGTTTCTTGAATTCTTCTTGAAAAGACTTGAAACTTTTATTTTCAAGATTTATGTTGGGTAGGGTTCAAGCAATTTAAGTGAATGGAAAGGAAAAACTAAGTTTGTAGGAGGGTAGGGTAGGGATGTGCTATAGACTGATTTATTTTCACAAGCATTAAATTTTGATTGCTGTTACTAATAAACATAAAAAAGGTATAAAAAATTTTTCGGTAATGATTTAATGGCAGTGGTAATTCCTGACTATTAGTTCATACTTAGAGTTTCAGGAAACACCTTATCTCAAGGGTTAACTTCATTTTATTGTATTTAGCAGAAGCACAAAAACAAGTTGTATAATATCTTAAAGGGGCTTAGGGCCTAGGGAGTTCTACGTTTTGCTATGAAATTTGACCTTTAACATTCTTGGCTAGGGGAAGGGGGAGGGGAAACAAAAATTCTTGGCCCACATACCAGTGAGGCACTTACTGTATGTGCCAAAGGAAGGAGTCCTGCTGTTAACAGGAAGTCTTTAGTTGGAATACTAAAGACAGATTGAATTCTTTTGTTTTGTACTTAAATAATTTAGTTCTATGCAGTTTTAAGTAACAGACTTTTAAAAACATTTTTAAGTGTTTTAAAGATGACTAAAGAAATCAAGTTACAAAAATCAAACAAATATGTCAGGCTTTACAAAAAATACTGGATTTGTATTTACTCCAGTAATGCATAAATATTTAGGTAACCAGAATCATCTTTTGAGGAGGGGTTAATAATCTTTAGACATACAACTTTATCTGGAATTATTTTGCTGAGGAAGAAAGAAAGCAATTGGCTTGATTTAATACTTGGATATCTTTATCAACATCTTGATTATAACATGGGCTGTAATGTTTAATGTCTATTACTGTGGACTTGTGGAACTTCATTAGAGTTCCAGATTCAGTTTTATTCTCTGTAGCCATTACAAAATTTGGAAACCAGAATTTTGAGCTTTATAAGGGTAGATCGCATAAATATCTGCCTGGTTGCATGAGATTAAGTTTTCTGGAGGTACATCTAGTGAAAGCTTGGTAGAGAGACAAAATGATACTTTATTTGCATCCATTGAGAAAAAAAGATTCTTTTCAAAATATTACTACTCAGAAAAAGAGATTCCTTTCAAAATAGTACTGCTCATTGACAATGCACTTAATTACCCCGTACAGGGACATTAATGTTTTCATGCCTGCTGACGCAGCATCCATTCTGTAGCTCATGATTCAAGGAGTAATACCAACTCTCAAGTCTTATGATTTAAGAAATACATTCCATAAGGCTATAACTGCCATAGATAGTGATTCCTCTGATGGATCTAGGCAAAGTAAATTGAAAACCTTCTGGAAAGATTGCACCATTCTAGATGCCATTAAGAACATTGGTGATTCTTGGGAGGAGGTCAAAAATATCAACATTAGCAGGAGTTTGGAAGACACTGATTCCAACCCTCATGGATGACTTTGAGGGGTTCAAGACTTCACCGGAAGAGGTAACTGCAGATTTGGTGGAAATAGCATGAAAGATAGGATTAGAAGTACAGCCTGAAGATGTGACTGAATTGCTACAATCTAATGATAAAACTAGAATGGATGAGGAGTTCTTCTTATGGATGAACAAAGAAAGTGGTTTCTTGAGATGGAATCTACTCCTGGTGAAGATGCTGTGAACATCGTTGAAATGGCAACAAAGGATTTAGAATGTTAAATAAATTTAGCTGATAAAGTAGTGGCAGGGTTTGAGAGGACTGATTGCAATTTTGAAAGAAGTTCTGTGGTTGGTAAAGTGTCAAACATCACAAGCTACAGAGAATTCTTTCATGGAAGGAAGGGTCAATCCATGCAACA